GAAGTTAGTAGGTGATCTGTGATGACCAACACGTATCTCTGAGTTTCACAGGTACAGCAAGAATAAACTGCTGTGGTTATATAGCCTGTTTATTCCCTAAGTCTTCTCTGCATTCATTGCTATTTCTGAGAGTTGTGGGGAAAGGGTTCAGATGCCTAAACCTTTATATACATTTATATACATCCCACTTCTCATTAAAGTGTTCCAAAGCCTAACTTACCTTGCAATGAGTAACATATACCTCTCCCTTAGGATGCATTTGTATTGTTTAATTTCTGCTCTGTGTATAGGTAGTCCTAAGCAGGAATAAAGTTACTTCTTAACCATCTTTTTACACAATTAGAAACATTCAGCTCCTTAAATATGAGTCTTTGGACAGTGTTTTCCAGAGTTCATCATACTTATGGATCTTCTCTGTATCCTTCCCACTTCTTGAGTAGTAAAGTTTTGAAGTAGGATGTATAATTCCAGCAGCAACTGAGGAAGCAGAAATAAAGGCTCCCTTTACTTACACTTGAGATTTCCAGTCTTTATGGGCAGTGATATTACACTGATTTTGACTCCACTGTTGCTGGGGGAAATTACAGGCAGCTGTTTATCTAGAAGAAGGTATGGATGTTTTTTTAGTGACACTGATTCCCAGATAAGACTCTCCTTCTTTAGGTAAGAGCCTGCCTTTTCACAGTGGAGATGTTCCATTATACATGCTGAAAAGTATGCTGCTCCCCTACATCTGAGCAATGCACATCACTTTGTTACAGTAAGCCACCCCTTTATTATTTATGAGTTCCCAAACTGTAGTTATTCAAGCTTTATGAGAAATGATTTTGTGTTTTCTTTCAGATAAATGAAAGAAATAATATTACAATATCAAAACTGATCCTTGCTTTAGAAACACCTGCTCATTACATTTTCAGATCACCCACTTGAGCATTTTGTAAACACCTGTAATATTGTTCTAATTTCTTAGTCAAAATGCCACGCAGAACATACAGAACAATCCCAGGAAGCTTACAGAAGTCTTTTAAACAAGCACCTTTATCTCATGCCCACAATCAAAATCTCCTTTTTTCTTATCTAGTTAGCATGGTTCTGTGTTTAACCTTTTTGACTAGTGCTGCTCACATTACTTATTTCAAATGAGTCTTGTAACAGCCTTTCAGTTGTTATGCTCAGGACTGATACTAGTCTGGAGTTCATTTACCACTTTTGCTCTTCTCTTTTCCCCACAGTCCTTTGAAACTTCCTTGTTGTTTCCAAAGTCATCAGGAATTAAACATCAGCCAACTGTTTTTAAACTCTTGGTAGGAATTAAACAAGAACTCCCACTCTGAGTCAAGAATGAAGGCATGAGCCAAGGTGTGGATTCTATTTCTAACTACAATCACTGAGTTTTGTAACATCTGGTAAACAACTTAAGGGAAGCCTCTTCTGGTTTTATATCCCATGTTCATACTTGGGCCATAATGTTCTGCCTTAGACCCAAAAATAACTTTGTCTTTTATAGGAGGCAGCTGTGTGTGCAATCTAAGGTGTTCAATGACCGTTCTTCCTACGTAAGATAAGTAGAACTAAAATGCATTGGATTTAAAAAAAAAAATACAACCAGATTTATTTTGTTTCCTTCAGATCAACCAATATTATCAGCTAAGCTGCTTCTACTGTATTGTGTAAGTTTGTGCCCACTCATTTTGTACACAGGACTTCCACACAGCAGCAAAGGAAAGACAAGGTGTTTTATAAAATGGCAAACCACAAGAACTGCCAGGAAAACAGAGTGGGAGCTATAGTATCTGATTTTCCTGTGGTTTACAGGGACCAGATTACAACCAAATCCCTTTTATTTTCTCTACTTTTGTCACATTGACAAGTATAGATACCAGTACAAGTACCAGTGAAATTGCACTCCAGCACTGATAAATTAATGCCTGCCACAGTAGGCAGGACAATAAATTAGCAAGCAAATGAGCTTAAGGGAAAGGCTGTTGAATACATTTGCCTAAATAACTCCTGCACTGGCCATACTACATGATTCTATTCCCTGGGAATCAGCTCAGCCTGTTCTTAAACTCTTTAGCTAAGGCATGAGCTCAGAAGGCGAGGGAGGGTTAATTTTTGCTTTCCTAAAAGAAAAAGAAAAAACCCCAAGCATCATGCAAACTTTGCATGGTATTTTCTATTTTTTTCTTGGTCATTGATGTTTTTTGTTGTTTCTCCTTTGTTTTTTTCCTACAGAGAAACTGGAGAGCAGGGAAAGTGTTTAGGAAAGTAAATCCCTTAGCAGACATGTGAGCAAATCAGGATCTGCTGCAGGACCCTCAGTCAGCCTCACCTGGCTGTGGCACATAAAAAACCCATCGCGTGAAGCTATCAGGAAAGGGAGGGAGAGTTGCTATGAGACATTCTGCCCAGGAGCTTTTGCTGACTTTTCAAAACATAAAAATATAATGCATTGCAATAGGACGTATTTGAATAGGCTTGCTGCCATGTAGCATGTTTATAACCCATATTTATAGTCAAAATATCAGTGAAATACTAGACAAAAGCTGTTTAAAACCTGTGGCTCTTTGACCTGGAACATTTTATTTTCTTGCCCTTGGCAACGCTTGCTGAAGGCTCAGTTGTCCTGCCTCACCTGTGCCCAGACAGAAGGAAGGAGTGGCACGGATGTCACTTTTTCCTGAGGCCTCCCAAGCCATTGGCACAGTCCTGAAAGAAGCCTGGTACCCTGGTTGGTGGCACTGTTGCACAGACACCACACGAGCCGCCTTGCCTGCTATTTTTCACATGACTGCAGAATACAAAGTCTTTAATCAGAATGGGGGGATTCCTTTGATTGGGCCCCATGAAAACCAAGATAAACGGGGAAGGTGTTAATCTCTGCATGAGCGTGATTGAGCAACTACATTTTGTTATTTGTTCCAGTGAGTTGTATAATCCTGCTTTCCAGTCATCCAAATAGGCTTTAGCATTGTCAACATGTTTTTCTTAATAGGATGATGCTATGAATTCATGTCTATGCAAGACTGGAAAGCCAGATTACATGCCTCAAGAGACTATATATTGGTTTTAGCTGTCAGTGAAATCTGTTTATTTCAATGAAAAGGACAGAGCCTCGAGGCCATTTTAGACTCTGTGATAGTGTGCCCCATATAAGACCCCTCACAAACTTTGGAGAAGCCACTCATTTAGAGCATTATATAAGTGTTTTGTTTGTTTTTTTTTAAAGTTTCAGCTGTTTCTTTTCCAAAATAAATAGTACGGTAAGATTAACACCCGGTAACCCTACTGATAATTCAGAAATTTGCAATACTAAATACAGGTCGGTGCATGTTCCCCTTCAAAAAAAACATCTTTAGTAAGTGCTGCTTTGCCAGGTTTCAGGTGTTATTCTGTGACATGATTAGTGAGATGGCCTGCAATTATATCCCTTCAGAGGAGGAGCTGCTTCTGCTCCTCCTCATTCTGCTAATGAGTTGCTTCTCATTAGCAAAAAATTTGCAACATATTGTGAGGGTAAGTTTTAGTCTCTTGCCAGAAGTAAGGGGACCCTGGGCTGATCATGAACCAGTTGTGAATTTTGAAAGGAATAAGTCATTATTAATCAAAGCATCATCACACTACACAAGTCACATTTCACCAGCCCTCCTGAGGCCTTTCTAGCTCTCTAGAATTACATCTTCGAGTAGCATCTGCAGCTGCAACCAAAGGGGAGGGAACAGAACACTTTCCTTTGTTGGCATGCCTGGCAGTATTGGCATGTGCTACCATGTGCCAGAGCTCCATAGCATGAGGAAATTCTGACAGAGCTGCATTTTCAACTCAGTGAACCCCACTTCACTGATATTTTGTGTGAGTCCCTCATTTCAGCTAGAACTGGATGGGGGAAGGGTATTTTTAAAATATTTCTACAAAAAGAAATGTGTTTTTGCCCATCAATATATACTTTCTCTCAGAGCTGTGCATGGAAGGAACACAGTACGTAAAAAGAGTTGAAAATTTTGGTCACGCATCATTCCTGTTTGCATTGTTAAATGTAAGGTTCTGACAAAGGACACTGAATTGCAAGAAGCTTTGCATTACACATAAATATGCCCCTGTGGGCTTTTATCACCTGCTTCCTATCCCTGTATTTTCTTATTATTATATTATTAGACTTAATATATAATATATTACATATTAAATTCTATAATATACTATATAGCAATAATGATTATAAAAATGTGTTCTTACTTCTACTCTTACTTGCATATTTTCAGGAAGATCAGAAGGTCATGAAATCATCAAATGGTTTGGGTTGAAGGAGATCTTAAAGATCATATGGTTCCAATCCCCCTGCCGTTGGCAAGGACACCTTACATTAGATCAGGTTGCTCAGAGCCCCACCCGCCCAGCCTGGCCTTGGACACTTCAGGATTGGGCCATCCATGGCTTCTGTTCCAGTGCCAAAGGGCTGAGTCTGTTTCTGTTCATTCTGTGTGTGAGGGACTGACAAAAGGGTCACGCTACTCTTCTCAGCCTGAGTATGACCAGGGCAGAATGAGGACTTTCTGGGGATTGCAGCCTGCACAGACCACAGTGACAGCCTGACTTTAGTCACTCAACTCTCAGTATGTAGACTTGAATCCTTACTCAACTGCCTCAGCTCTTCTGTTTTGACCAGTCTCAGTTTCTGTCTAGGATAGGGGAAAGGATACACAGGGAGGGAACAAAATGTTACTATGCTCTTTTATCCCTCCAGTAGCTCATTACTGACTGTGTGAGTGATGTAAAGGAGTCCTGGCTCACACTGATTTCAAATTCAGATGTGTGCTGAGCACAGAAGCAGCAAGAGCTAGCTGTAAAAGGTAGAAAGATTGCCTTCTCTGTTTGCCACTTGGTATCAAGAAGAGGAGACAGAATAGTATTTAGTGTCCAAAAAGAAGAAAAAAGAGTGATACTCTATGGCCTGATCATTGATTTAACAGGATCAGATTGTATTTTCATATTTACATGTACAGACAAGGACCAGCAGAAAAGAGACAGACTAATTCAAACCCTTGAGAAATACAAGAAGGATCTTGTACATGGTCTTCCTGCCTCACCAGTCAAGTGCAGAAGTATTCCTCCAAACCAACAGAAGGTATGTGATGTTTTGACAGCTTTAGACCTGTCACACAGGTGGCATTGAGCCACATGAAAAAGCCCATTTTCCCCTTACTTAGCTGTTCTATGTGGTGTGGGGAGTGCCTGTAGCACAGCAGTTACATGCAGGTTTGTTCATTGTGGCTTTTTATAGTCTAGTCAAGCAGAGATAATATTTAACTCAGTTTTGCCACCTGGCACCTGTCCTCCCACTGAACCATTTCTGTCCCTATATGGCCTACAGTGACAGGAACCCATGTTATGGCTGTGTGCATGTGACTAAAACGCGTTGAAGAGAACACAGTGTTTTCAAGAGAATTCCAATATTTTTCTGTATTCCCATACTGTGCGTTGTTTCACAGTATTCCCTGAATTTTAGAACATTACTTAATGGCAAAATCAAGAGCCTAAAGTAATTAATGCTATTTCTATATATTCTGCCAGATGCCAGAAACTGGACAACCCCATATTAATGTGAGTAGAACTTTTCTTCACGAAATTCTGTCAGTGGACCTCACCTCAACAAATTCCTGCAATACATTTCATCCTACTATAGTCCAGTGTCTCTCTCAGACAAAAATTCCTCATCAGACTATATTTAGATTGTATAATTTGAGAATCATAGTGGGTTTACCACTAGATTTCCAATTACATTGTTTGCAAACATCATCCAGTTCAAACGTGCATGATTTTGTTTTGTAAAATCTTTCTCCTGGTGAAATGAATAGCAAAACAATAGATCACAATTCCACCTATGGTATTTGTGAGGAAAGCAGTGGCTCTGTTTGACTTCAAACTCATGAGATGATGCCATGCTCACACGTGCACAGGCACACAAGGAGAGAGAACAGAAGATACCATTGAAGGAGGACTGTGAGACTGCCATTGAGTCATCAATTCCATAGGTGATAATACAGTGTCCAAAGAAGAAAAAAGTCTCCTGTCCTCCCTCTGTCAACTCTGGCAAGGAAAATGAGATTTCTGTCATTTCCCAAGACTTCTTGTTATTAGAAACTTCAGTTTAGTAAAGAGAAGGAAGGAAAAGGAAACTAGCTAAAGGACTGGTTAATTAGCTCAAGCACAGTGGCAGGATGGCTTTACTAATTAATCACTAACAGTGGTTCCCAGAACTGATCAAGTCAGTTACACCTCTTAAAACCAATTGAGCCCGTTTGAAAACAGTTTCTTAAAATTCCTCTTGTGTGAGCTACTTTGTAGGAAAAAGCGTCTCTAGCGAATTCTCATGTAATTTTTTCTATCAGTTTTGTTCTTTAACTTACAGACAAACTGGGCACTGTTGGAAAATGGTCACCCACTGTCTGGTCAGAGCAACTACCCCCGGACAAAGAGAGAGCATGCCCGCTCTCTATCATGTCAGAAGTTCACTTCAAGGACTCTGCTGCTGGCTCCTGCTGCAAGAAAGACTATCCCAAATACTGCTCTGTGTGCTTTGTCTCAGACACCAGTTCACAGTGCTAGTGCCCACACATCATCTGCTTCACCCCTCCTGCAGCCTCACATGCCTTTGGGCAGTCACAACAGGAAGAAGGCATTTCAAAACTCTGGTCATAAAACCTACTCTGGGGACCTCCTTGACAGACATGCAATTTACTTTACAGAAAAGAAGCAGTGTTTTACCCCTCGGATCTTGAAGACATCGCATCAACCTTTTCTTGTAAAATACAGGCATTATCATCCTCCTTCCAGAAAAAGGAGCTCCTCCCCGGGCAGACCATCAATTAAATCAGCAGGTATCAACAACAAAAAGAAAGAAGGCTTGCACAGGTACTGACATCAGTACTAAAAGCTATACAATTTTATTTTCAAATGCATCATTTGAATCATAACTGTTTCTCACTGTGCTTTTAATCTTTCAGATTTTTAGAGGATGAACATATGAGACCACATTCTGTTCATTTTACTCAGCAGCCAGTTAAGGTTAGTGTATCCAGTGAGTTACAAAGAAAAAAGGGCAGAAAACACTGCTCATACACAAAAGTTGTCCTAGTTACATGGAAATGAAATGGATAATGGATTCAGTGGCATTGGAGAATCTTTGTTAAGAGCAAAATATTCAACTATCCTATGAGAAGTGGCTAAAGTTGTAATTGAGAAATCCAGCACACAGAGCTAGAGTCAAGTTATCTGTGAATAAAACAGGGACAGCTAAAGAAACTAGTCTCTCTGAGAAACACAGATGAGACACTATGTGTTGTGGAAAACAGTGTATCCCAACACAAATCTGCTCTTCTGAAAGCAGAGCTCTTTCCTACTTGACTGAACTCCTGCTTTTTGGTTGGTTTACAGCCTTTCATTCCATCCAAATAATAACTTGGAGCCCAGAAACGTCCAGACAAAGTGCTATTCACTCAGTCTATGGTCACTACTGTAGAATGCCATGCAAGATTTTGTCTGGAAGTTGCACTCCATTAGTCGTCTGGATTTTCAAGATGAATGGCGGATTGATTTAGGAAATTTTCATGCACTTAAAAATAAGGGCTCCTTAATAATAGCCAAAGCCATGCATGATAGAGGAGTTTTGTATAATTCCTTGGTCCACATACCCCTTTAGAGAAGCCCTGCTGAATTTCTACATAGCTCAGCCAAGGAAGCACATGCATGATTTGTGATAGCCTTGTGCTTGATAGTACTATTTCAGTCCTTGTTCCAGCCACCAAAAACTTCATTTAACAGTATTACCAAGAGAAGCTCCTACTCTTATTTGATGACCTGATCTGATTTTCTAAGTCCTCTTTCAAAAGGATTGTATGTGTACTTCGAAAGAAAATGCTGTTGTGTTTGTATGGAATCTGTAAAGATTTCCAATTTTGACAGAAATTCTGATTTTCTTTATACTTGCATCATTTCTCTCAGGTTATACAAGCTGATTTCCATTTTTGCTAACATGAGCCTACCCAATAATAATAATATTGTTCATTATTTACGTGAGTGATTGGTACCCAAGATGTTTATTTCACATGAGCTGGAATGTGGTATAGTTGTGGTTTTGATATATTGTGGAATCAGATGATTTCCCTGGTACTCTGAATGGAAATAAATAATGTTAATACAAAGACAATTAAACAAATTATTTACTTTTTTATCCATTTCATTTTTGTGGCAGAACCATGAATTGTGGAATAACGATTCTGATATGCCACTTTCTCCAGGATTACAACTTCAAGAAGTGTAAGTCAAATATTTGTCCCTTTTAAGTATTTCTAAGTTTCCTATCAAAATATTAAAGTAGAAATCTAGTGGAAAATTGAAAACATGGCACAAGAACCTGTTACCAATGGCTTTATGCAGTGAGTAGAGGGATTCTTTGGGAATAAAGGATTCAGCTACTTGCTTGGGAAATGTGGGATCAGAAAGTTGGAAGAGCTTTTCTGGGCCATGTCATCCCTCTTACTGTAGGCAAGCTAAATATGTTAAGACTAATTAATAAATAAACAATGTTAAAATTATCTTATGGTACCTACACTTTGTTCACTGGAACCACTTTTAACTGATTATTCACAAAATCTTTTAGATTAATGAAATGAATGGATTAGAATATTTTGGGAGCTGATCAACAGAATTGTCAAAATCAGTCATTTTAAAACTTAAAAGCCTGTGTAAAAATGCTGACTAGTAAATAGATTAACCACTTCTGTTTTAATTACTCTAAAACTACTACCTCTTTGGTTGGTATTGTAAACCTTATTTGTATTCCATGTATATTAAAGTAAGACACTGACAGTTTGTGTGTTTTCATAGAGAAGAAGAGTACCTTTGTTTTCTCCAGGATCTTACAAATGATATTTTGATTAGAAATTGTTATCAAAAAGAGTAAGTGCTTTGCCTTTAATATTTATTCCTTTGAGAAACAAAACTCTGACAAATCAGTGTAATGAATTCGTGATTTTAATGACAGCAAAGTGTAACTCTGTTTCAGTTTAATTGGATGAATGTTTTTGTGACTGTACTGTATGGGAGTCATGATCTAAATTGAGTAGCTGAACAGAAAATACTCTCAGCCAGCCTCGTGCTTCCCACTGACTTCTAGTAGAAACATGGAAATATCATATTCACTAACCCTGTTCCCAAGCTCATTCCTTTATACAGGATAGTGATTGATATTATTGTTATAACTGTCTCATTCCAGTTCCCAGCCAAACTTGAGCTAGCAACCCATGGAGTCTTCCCTAGCAAAGTTTATCAGAGCAAGAATCTGTGTTTAGAGTTCTTCCTCCCTCCTATCAAAACAAAATAAATAAATGCAATGATTGCTTTCTTTAGGATATGTGCAGTCTCAAGTTAATGATCCACACATAAAGGTTAGAGCCAAGCACACCTCATGCTGCTGGTGTCTAAATGCAGCTGTGATAAACCACAGAGCTGCTTATAGCACTGCTAAAAGTGACAAAACTGGGTGCCCCTTTCCTAAATAATTTCTTGCCTGCATTTTAACTGGAAGAAACTCCTCCGTTGATAGAGGATTTTACCTCAGTGTTTAAGATTTTAAGTGCTTTGATGCTAGAGAGGTGCCAACCCCCCAAATCAATCCAGCTCAGCCTGACACTGAGGTATTTCTTTTTCAATTTAGTGGATTTGAGTTAGAATCCTTAAGCTCCTTTAAAAAAAAAAAAAGTCAATTGACACAAGTTGTTAGTTTGTTCTCTGATTAATCAGTTTAAGGTAAGAGTTCCCCTCCTTCCTTCTAGGTTATTTTAGTTTTCAGACAAATATAAGGTCCAAATTAGAAGTGAATTTTCTGGATACACTGGAAGGAACACTAGCATGTTTAAAAGACACCTATTCATTTACATCGAAAAGGTCACAAAGTATGGGGCCAGCCCATACATACACTAAAAGAAAGTTAAGGATCTGTGTGTTTGTGTCCCTGCTCAGCCCTTCAGGGTGAGAGGACTACTCTGCTGGCTTTAGAGGGAGATAGTTCAGATGCTGTGTACTTCTCCCTCAAAAATAAAGTTTACTAAAAATATGTGAAAAATCATCATGTGTTCTTGGCTCATCTCTAATAACAGAACTTAGTTGCTCTGCAGAAGAAAAGTGAACAATCAATAATATCCTTTCATTTTAAAGCACAAGATGAATTTCTAAATAGGTTTTATGTCTAACTAGGAAAGAGACACAACTAGTGGCCTTACTACCCTGCAGGATTAATATTATAGGCACATTTTAAAGTTTCCAGTTATATAGTCCAGTATTCTACAGATAAAATCACGAATGCCCTCTCAATTCTAATATACAGTATAAAACCAAACCAGCTCTGCTGAGCCCTCTAGCTCATTGCCAACATTGCTAAAGATGCAACCATTGGGTTAGATTTAATTATGATTGCAGAAGCTGGAGACCTAACTTCTCTAGTCAGATAGGTCTTTATTTTTACTAATTTACACATCTTTTGCTCTTAGATGATGATCATGGCTCTAAGAAAGTTATTGAGAGAACTTTCTGAATAAATCTCCCTTTCCCTAGCACACCTATTAAGCAAACTGTGAGCACGAAAGTCCAACCTTCAGTGTTTCCCTAAGAAGTTACTGAAAAGGAGACCCAAGAACAAAGAGATCATGCAAATGACCTTCAGAGTCTAAAAAGTGCTGGCTAAAGGCAGTTCCAAAGCCCTCTTTGAGTAGCACCATAGAGTGGACAAAGGAACAAGAGCTCTAAATGAATCTGGGAGGCTGCTTGCAGTACTGCCAAGCACTCCAGTACCCCCAGCAGTTTTACTCAGTCAGTGTGGTGGGACAGAACTCGGCAGTAGCAAGAGAGACTTAGGCCCCAGCAAAACACAGTGGGAGACTACTACATTGTGATGGCAAGCACCAGTAGTCCTATACTTTTATTAAAAGTAGAAGAAGAAATTAGAATTATGCACATGAAAGTCTTTCCTTAACATAGTTCCTGCCAAACAGCATGCACTTGGAATGAGAATATCCAACAACGTTAAAATGTTTAAGATTTTAGTTTTTAAATCCACTTATAAGAGGATGGGGAGGGGATGGAGCAAAAGTGAAAGGTTGGGATGTATTTTAAGTGATCTGAAAAACAGGCTGAGTAGTTATTTTTCATTTTGAAAGTATATGGACCTTGAACAGTTGAGGTTTTTATCACTGATGTTCCTTTTTCCTTTTTTTTAAGGGCATTAGAAGATGTATTTCAAATGCACATTAAAAGTAAGAGGCATAACCTTGATGAGGTGAGCAAAAACATCGAATATTAAATATTCTGTCACCTCCAGTAGAAATGTTGTACATCAATGCTGAGCAAGAATTTATGGCAGATCGACTACTATGCAATTTTAATAAAAAGCAAGGAGAAATTCGCCTTACTAAAGCAGCAGTAAGGGTGTTTTCCATGGAGGGCTGGTAGAGAGAAATTTTTCTGTACATTTTTGTGTATTGCTCTAATAATGTTTCTAAAAGACAGATACTGTAGTTAGCATGTGGAATGATTTTTATTACATAAAACCTGTTCACAAAGAACATTTGCTGCTGCACTTTTTTGCTGTGACTGCTGTTTTCTGGAGTAGACCAGCAAAATAGGCTTGGAGGCTGTGACTAGATCCAGTAGGAAGACTGCGATTTTATAGATTGAATTTAAGAGTTTGGTCACCAGAACAGAATGTAAAATTCTAAGTCCAACATTAAGGCTCCCCAGGTAGTGCCTGCTGAGAATTATACACCTAAAAATGCTTGTCTGGACATCTCCCACAATGAAGGGATAGGGAAGAGGCCTGTGGAGAAACAAGAAGAAATTCCAGGCACACATACACAGCCACAGCCCTGTCTCTCGTGTCTGAAAGTCTGTCACCTTATCTAGGATGAGCAAAAGCACATTTTCCTGTGCTAATCCAGGGTTTGGACCCCTCTCCTGAGAGCAGAGTTTATAACTGCCCTTTGAAAAAACTGGAAAGAAGACACTGTTTTCCTTTTAAAAGTCATTCACAGGGAAAGTGTCATTGTGGCATTGCCATTGTCTTTGCTGTTATCCCAGTTTGGTTGAAGAACTTGCCCATGAAATGGGGAAGACCCAAATCCAATGCCTCATGAGCAGATGGCTCAACTGGGCTTTTGAACTAATTCCTTTAGGTTAGACTGTCAGAACAAAATGGGGGACATAAGCACTGCAATCTGAGGCTGTACCACTGATTTAAAAGGCATTAGGTTTTTCTGCTTCCCAATAAATGATAATATAAATTCCTTCTTTACAAACTCTGAATTAAAGGGAAAAAATGAGATGAAAACACATTCCCAAGGACCTGCTGCAGAACTGTGAGCTCCACAGAGGGTACAGAAGTTCATTCACAGCCTTCCTTGCATTGCCTGCCAGCTGCGAATTGGAGGGGCCCTGCCCAGTGCACAGGGCTTGGGGCATGGGGCTTTTTCATCCCATGCTTCTCCCAAGTCCCACAGGGACTAAGCCTGCTAATTCTGGCCTTGAGAAGGATTTGATGCTCGAGTTCCCCTCTAGATCTTACTTTAAAGGCCTCTGCACAAAAAGACATTTCATTGGGTGTGATGATTCAAAAGTTTCATGGAGATTTAATTCTAAAGTTCATATTGCTGCAGCAGACTCAGGTGGGAACATTTCTGAGAAACTATCAGAGTGGGGCTTTTAAACAAGCTACCTTGGCTTATTTGTTTCTGAAAATTTGAAACCATTTAGAATTATACTTCCTTCAACACTAGGCATGTGGGAGTACACATGATTTGCACATTGAATAAACAACAATTAAAAGAATTATAAAATAATTAGAACGCAGAATGTTATTTTGTCTTTCAAAGTGCTACAATTAGGGGAAAGGTGGTGTTTTGGTAACTGTTTAGTTGCTGGATTGACAGGTAGAAAAGTAGGTAGAAAAAGTGATTAGGGAATGATCAGTTGAAATTAGTGAAATTTAAGTTGGTTTTGTGGGAAAAAAATCAGCAGCTGCACCTCAGTTTGAGAGGATATGTATTTTACATCTGACTAGAGGATGCTGAACATATTTGCAAGGTCAACTGTTGCTTTAGAGATAGAGCTGAGAAACTTTAAGAGGAAACTGAAGGTACAGGATTGCTTCCAGAAGGATGAGTTTGTAAGAAGTAGCAGATTTCTGCTATGTCCCCTTGAAACATGTTTGATATCTAGGAACATATTGTTCTGCACCTGAGTTGAGCTTAAGCCTGGTGTCTTCTCCTTCAAAAGTACCAACCAAAAATTCTAAAGAAACTCAGAAAAGAGGAAAAAATTTGCTGAGAACTGATGTAAAGATTATTGTTAATCCCATATTTGCATGTTTAGCCATGCATCAGTGAAAGGAAAAAGAACCAAACTACCTCTGTATAATAGAAGAACACAGCACATACAGGAGCAAGAAATGTTCTTTGCAAAGGTTAAGAAGTGTAAGCATAACTTACACCACAAGAAGCATGTGAGCAGTGACATTTATTAGACCAGGCACAGTTCCCACAAGAAAAGTAATGGAAGCTGAATCACTTTGTGGCTTTTAAAAGTGACTTGGCCAGTGGATGGAAATGAATTTCATAGCAAGTGGACTTTTGTCCGACAGAAATACATTTTTCTCTTTTATTTGGTAGTCTTCAAACCAAACTCTTTTTATTTCCTATCACTATTTTCTGGACCAGACAGACAAAATAAGAAGATGGAAACATGTGTCAAGGTCTTTGCAATGTCTTTTTACCCACACTGGATGCTGGCCAAATTTTTATTTGGGCACTGGGCTCTGCTCTTCTGTGTACTTGCTATCCAAAACCAACACTCCCATCTCCAAGTTCCTGCTGGCATTTGCTCCAGCACAATGTCTGAGATCTGTTCCCTGAAACAACCTTCATGTTGGTCTACTGCCTGTTAAACATCATGAGAGTGCTTAAACCCATCCAAATGTGTTGTCTGACCCACCGTGTTTGTCCACATTCCACGTCTAAGCAATCCTTAGCATTTACTTGGGAATTCACTGCTCTAGTACCTGCAGCCTCTTCTCCAGCTTTGAGAAAGAGAGTAGCACCATTGCTTTTCCAGGGAAATGGTCACACACTCAATGGGATGTTACATGGGGACTGAGGGAAAGAAGAATGCAATTAGTTGCCTAATTCAGTTAGATAACATTTTGCTTTAGAACGTGCAGTCTCAGGATGCCCAGGAGAAAGCATGCACCAGCCCTTCCAGCAAAATGTATTTCTGCTGTTCACATTGTTTCACTACCTCTGCAGCCTGCATTCAATAGTCTGCTTAGAAGTTTTCAGCTGAGGGCTCTTTTCACCTTGTCAGCTCTGGATATTCAGACAATCTTTTATGATTGAGTACAACAATTTGTTTTTTCTACCACAAAAATAAGAAACTGAAGAGTTTCTCCAACAAATTTTCACAGAGGAAACAGGTTCCCCTATTTTCTGTAGTAACCAAATGGTCTCCACTCAAGAAAGCTTGTAAAAATTGCTTTTTTTTCTCTAGCCACTTGCTCAAATCCACTATCAGACAGTTTTATACCTTTAGAAGTGCAAGGATGACATATCTGCTGCAGAATCTGATCCATACTCAGATACATTTTGAGAAGCTATCAATTCCATAAAAAATATTTCCTTAAAAAGAAAAAAAAAATGCTGGTCCTTGCTAAGAGGTACAAGTAAAAGGGTAGCTCTTATAATCCAGGAAAGTAGAAATCATATCTTTTGGGCTTGAAATAGCCACTGAAATGGGTCTGTAAGTGCATCATTCCAGTAAATTGATGGGAAAGTAACACAGCACCTGCAGGGGTGAGGGATCCAGGGCCCATCAGTCTTCCAATGAGCAAACTGTTCCAAGTAACTTGTTTCTGGGAATTTTATCATATAAAACCAAAAGCTTCTGAAGATACAAAGTAATATCTTGCACTTGTTTTATGCCTTTGCTTTTAGGAGGATCATAAAGTGTTCATTTTCAAAAAAATACAGTGTAATGACACCAGAAGTTTTATCTCAGGTGAGGAGAAGATGGAAGACATTTGATAAATGGCACCCTGCAGTGATACCAAATATTTCAGGACAGGAACACAGAACAGCACAGGCAGCTGAACATCACAGTGGTGTGGAAGCTGAAAAGCCACTTTATTCAACCAAATAAAATCATTTCCTCTGATTACTGTGCAAATATGGCCTCAGTGATAAGACTTGGCAGAAAGTGTCATAGGGTCTTTCACAGCCATTAGTGAAAAGGTCTATTCCCTTAGAAATTTTTACATTTCTAAGGGGAAAAACCCTCTTTTTGATATACCACACCTCAGCACTATCTTGAGTCACACTGAAGCAGACAGAGGAGAAAGCAACCTCTGCTTAATCCCTGGCACTATCTCCTACACGTTCTTGGCCATTCCCTTCTCAGAGTGCCATACCCTTTCTACTTAGCCCATCGTGCCTCATGGGATTGCCTAAGGAGGAGACACATCACAAATGACTGTGGTTTGGGATGCTAATGCAATAATTAGCGGCTTAATCATCAAAGTGAATAAGCAACTTACCAACAGTCCCTTTCAGCCCTGTGCACTGTTACCATTTAAATACAGCATTTTGTAATGGACCATAATTAGACACTGCACATGGGAAAGTTTTAAAAGTAAACCAGTAAAAATGAAAATGACTGCTCTGAGATGAGCACAAGACCCAAGTTTATTCTTCTCACAACAGAAAATGTCAGTGATCTGGTATGTGGAAACTTTCTTCCAAACCAGTACTGACCCAATGGCCCCATCACAGGCAGAAGGGGAAATGTCCCGTGAAACAAGTTCTCTTACCCATGTGACTTAAAGTAGGAATATTCTATCTTGGCAAAATTTAGAAATTCCAGCATGAATAGTTTAATTTCAAGTTCTTAAATTTCTTCTGAAGTTTCAACTGGATGTACTAATTTCACTGCCTGCTCTGGCTATTTATACAGCAGAGCTCATCCCATTTCAAGTGCACATTCAGTGGTGCTCCTGCAGGGGCAAACACCATTTTCTTCAAGCTGCTTATGTAAATCAGAGTTTCCAAAATTAAAACAACTGGAAAACTTGACAAGTACCATGCAAACATGATGCACCTCACTCCCAGAGGACACGTGTATGGTAAATTCTTAATACCTGCATTGGTTACTTTGGCTACTGAAACCAAGCCTAACCCAGACCATGATTTAGTTACAGGTCACCAAGCTTTAAAATGAGGTTAGAAGGGATAACTCTCATAGGTAAAACACCCTTCACTCACCTAGTTATACAAAAGAGCCAATCTGTTGGCTCAGCACTGTGCAGGCTTGGCCACAAACTTTTACACTTCCCAGCCTTCCATAGCCTTGCTGCTATACTGGATTTTTCCCTTTTGTTGAATGTTCACTTTAGCAGTCAAAGTAGCAAAACAGAACACAGAAGATATAAAATTACCTTATAATATTTACAAGGAGCAGCCTTGTAGATAGGTTTGGATAACGTCTATATTAGTTCAGAAATTTTTGTGAAAATTTATTTAGAGTCATGGAAGAGATTTTAAAGTTGTTCTTTTCACTTGGGTATTTCTTAATGTCTATCACAGGACATTAATGGCATAAACTTCTCAAAAGAAAAAAATGCTGAAGGCAAATCTCATCAGTCAGTTTGACAAAGCATGTGCATGGAGGAATCCACTAGATCTCTGTCACAAGGAGTTTGTTCCATATTTTCTAAACACGAATATTCCAAGTTACAAAAGTGACTTCTTTTGAAGCACTGGACATTTTCTGTTTCCAGCTCGTGGAGAATGTCCATTATCTTCAACATGTTTCAACAGAACAACTAATTTTCTGTTAAAGTGGTCAAGATTGAATGCTTGTTGTAATGACCTTCAAATTGAACTAGAGTTATACAATTTTCCCAGTAAGCTCCTCAGAGTCTACCTATTTTTTTCCCTTTCTGTGTGGCAGCTTCCAGACCCCATTCCATGCCATGAATACCCACAGGTCTTCCTCCACAGACCAAAGAGACCATCATGATTGTCATCTCTTAATAAAGCAAAGTTCAGTGAGGGTGATCTAGGAATCCTAAATTATAATTATTGATTATACTGTATTATAATAATTGATTATACTGTAATCCATTTTCCTCTTGATTCATTCTGACAGTGATACTAATAATTTTCTCAGTCTTGAGCTTGTCAAACCACACTGGTCAGGTGCTCTCAGTCCATTCTGCAATCATCTGCCATTCAGAATCTACTCTTATACTTTCCAAGATAGGGGAACTGTTTGCTTGCTTATTAACTACCTGCAATCCAGACTGCTGACTGCGTATTTCATCACCATTTTCCCTTCTCCCAGTATGATTATACTGGATCACTGATGTTTTTTTAATTCCAATAGTCTTGGCTCTTTGTAAGGCTGAAATAGAGAAACATATGGGGTCAAAACAAAATATGAAAAAAGCACCTGTTTTGCTCAAATGAATTCTGGATGTTCAAGCTGGTGTTTTAGCTATGAGGAACCCAAGTACATGGTAGGCATAATCTTGGACTAACATGCAGTCCCAAGCTATGATGTAGCAATCTTCCACATTATTCTCACAGAGAAAAGGTTAATTTGCTACTGCTTTATGCTGTGTGTTCCATGAAGCACTACTCCACGGGAGTTTATTGTAGGCAGGCACTTCCTACAGAACATGCTCCACCAAAAGAAGATGGATAAAGAACCAAGTGCTTTCTAGCAGTTACCTGCACTGTAGGTAACTAAGACATCCCTGTAAAGGCACAGAAGTACCACAGATGATGCTCAAGCACTGCTCATGCTTCAACAGCTGTGACCTGGAAAAGAAGTGCTTGTTTCTAGCCTTTTCTGTTATTTAATGTAGATGGGAACTGCATCTTCCAGAATGGGATTTTCCAGGAGAATTTAGCTAAAAGATAGATAATCTAGACTGCAAAATTCCTTGCAAATGGAAGACAAAATCTCTGAGACTTGAGTGAGCTAGAGGAAATAAATGAATGAGGTAGTGGGGACAGAAGTGAAACACCTACTTAACTGAAACCTCATTTCAGTAGTTTTCTCCAGTTAATTAAGTATTGAGGAAAATGGATGCAGAAAGTACATTTTAAAGCAATCAAGTACTGCCAGAAATCAAACCAGCAATTTGAAAAGAGAACAACACTGCTCTCTGGCATCTGACAAAATAAGATATTTGACAGGGAACAATATGTGCAGTACTGGTTAATTGGGAGGCGAGGAGAAGAATAATCATAGCTGCATTACTGAATTTATAGAAGTGTCTCCAGTGTACCACAGGGACGATGCGAATTTGTGGAATCCTCCTGCCTGCTACAGCAAGCCAGCAATCACTTACATTCCCATCAACATTTTTTTTCAATGTACCCTAGACAGCAATGCAGAAATAGCAACTGTGGTGGCTGAGCCCAGGAGAATTGCCTTTAAAATGACTGTAAAATCCCCCACTTTCCCCTGCTGATGAAGAGATATTGGATAAGAAACAAGTGGGGAAGAATTAACACTTGGTCTCCTATGTTAAAACTCATCAGAGCAGGGCACAACCCTTTCCCAGTTATCTGAGTATGGAATATGGCTATTCCAGCACCAGTTCTACTACAGGTTGACTGTGTGTTTTTGCAAAGCATCAGCTTTAGAGCAAAGACAAGGCTTTAGTTTCCCCATCTTTTACTTCTAAGCTGTAGCCGAGCACCATGGGAACTGAACCCATAAAGTCAGTTATATTTTGGAAGCTCTGGCACAGCATTTGAGGCTATATTGTCTTCTCTGCAGCTGGTTCACTGACCTTCCATTTTTAAATGTAATTTTAAGCACATTGAAATCATGCTTTCAACACAAGAGTGCTGCTTTATCAAAGTCAGCAATGGGGATGGAGACACCTGAACAAACCATTTGGTACCCTTCCCACTCATACTTTCAGTGTAAGGGGATGTGCATTTCATGGGAGATTCTTATTTAGATTCTTTTCTATAACCCAATACTTTCATGTGTAACTGCCTGTCTCAACAGTAGATTTGCTGACCTGAAGATAATATCAGGAGCCAGATACCAAAGGCTTAGATAAAAAGAGGAGTAAAAGAGCAGCTAACCAAGTTAAACAAGCATTTAAGCAAGTAGGAGATATGGGAATCACGAAATAGATTCTTTCCTCTTTCCTGTAATTGCTCACAAGAAATTGAAGAGAAAGAAAAATGCCATAGGATGAAGTATCAGTTTTCCCCATTACTACTTTCAGCTTCCATGATTAGAATTGAAGGTAATTATGTTAGTCCAAAATTAAGTTAATCCAAACTATGCTCCCCTCAGAAGAACTAAAATCTTTAATCCCTCAGTGCCAGGCAGTGTCTAAAACCACACATAACCTTAAATAGCAACAGAGAACAGAGTATTTTTCAATTTGAGGTCAAAAGAATAGAGAACACTTCCCTTTCTCTATACTGAAAAAAAAAGAATTGAAGCACTCCCCAACCACAATTAATAACTTCCAACTTCCCATTTTGCCTCTAAAACAAAAAAGTCGGTAGTCAGATGTGGATACACAGTCTTCATGAAAAAGTCAATCTTCCTTCACAAGATCAAATGTATTTACACTGTATTTTATGTGGCACTCAGCAGGCCACTTAAATAAAGGAGCCCTGAAATAAAGGAACCTCTGTATCCAGCACAGAGCAGATTCTCACTAAGCTTCCATCTGTTTAATTTATGAAGCACAGTAGCAGAAAAGCAAAACACAAAGAGCTGCTGATTTTTCTATGCACCCATCAGACCTTTCACTGAAGTATTTCAACAGCTGTATTGTCAATAGAGATCATGATTTGTCTGCTGTTAAAAAAGCTTCCAGGAATAAAAGCATGCAAAAAGCCTAACAGATTTAGCTGTTTTATAGCTACATCCTGTTTTTCTATGTCCCATAGAGTTCCTGAACTCTACAGTGAAATAAGTGCTTGGGTTCACATATAAGTATCTCAGAGAACATGCAAACACACACGAGTATATAATATCTATTTTATCTATATATCTTTTATTTATATATATCTATTTATATCTATACTTATAGATATGTATATTTACAAAGATCATCTCCTACCCCTGGAACTATAGTTAGACTAGTCCATCTATCAAGCAAATCCACAACATTGCCTTTGAATCCTGCTATTGCAGTCTGCTTCCCACAGTCCACCTTGCATCCAGTTGTCAACATCATTAAGTTCAAACAGCTGTTTTCAATTGCTGTTTTCTGCAGAAAATTACTGGCAGTCTTTTGTAATTTATGGCTATTTAGGATAAGATAGCCAAAGTAGAGGGAGATGGAATAATTTTAAGGGTTAGACAGCAAGAACAGGACACCTGAGAAAAATCTGGAGTGTTCTCCGGCACCTGGGCCATGGAGTGGCACTGGTTTTGTTTGTTTCTACAGTGTTTACATTGCTCAGCAATGTTACCCTGTGTAGAGGGAACTTATTTGTCATGTGTTCTACAGAGAAGTTCCCCATCAGGTGTGTGTTGCACTTTTCTCTGTCATCCCCTTCAAGGTTTAAGGGCACTATTTGCTTTGTTGTCCAATACACACATCTGAGACCAGGCACATTTTGAGTCATCACTGCTCTCTCTGGTATTTTTCTTTCTGATTAAAAGTATATTAATTTGCATCAGCTGTAGGGCACACCAACAAAATTAGCTGGATAGTGAGAGTGTGATTCTTCTTTCAGCTCCATCTCTCCCTCCCACTGGCTGTCAGTGGATGAGTAGATTCTTCCAAGTGGTCCCAGTGAGCCAACAAATGTAGGAATGGCAGCACTGTCCCCAAGGGTAGAACTGCAGGGCAGTGCAGAGAACTCGTGATCAGCCCTGCAGCCAAGTGGGCTCCACAAATCAGGGCAAGATCTGACATTTAAAACGTTTTAAATTCTGGGGACATTTAAAATTCTTACACCTGAGAGATCAGTTTAAACATTGGTCCTTAATAATAAGAATCCAGGAAGAGCAGCCAACAAACAAATTTCCTTTAATGTTTTTCTCTCGTTACTAGGTAAAAATGAGAAGATTAGTCCAAAGTCTGAAGAAAGAGCTGAATATCACAAACCACCCAGACACTTCCATCAGCTGTGGGGGAACATGCCAGAGGGATGCCAGCATTCCTGCAACATGCTTTTAACTTACAGCTCTGGGCATTTCAGGGAGCACGCAAAGCCACGTGAGATAGCAAACTAGATTTTACACCAATTACATTGTAAACCTTGCGTAAACAGGCAAGTGAAGAAGAGATTCAGCTAATGCATCTTCCTGTGATGTAACACAGAATCACTATGGCAACCAGGTTAGCATGCTAAGAACAATAGCAGAGCACCAAAGACATTTTTATAGGGACTTCCACAGAATAGAAAGCCACAGACAAGTGTCCTTTCATTCATTACAGAGAGATGACAAAACGCATCCTATTGCATCCTAGTATGCAATCCTACTAGGAATCCTGATGAGGCACCCTGATTTTTTTGCTCTGCATGCTTGATATACAGATAGGTTGGAAATTATGTTCTTGATAGACTTCCCTATGTGGATTGAGACCTGAAGTCTCATCAGCTTGCAGTGGAATGGAAAATATTAAATCCCACTTTCAATAGATTTAGGCATTAATCTAAGACCTCTTTAAAATCTTAACCTACATCAGAAAGCTAAGACTACCCAGTACTCTGATACATATTAGTTGCTAAAAAACCCCAGACATTATAACCTTTCAAAATGCAAACATTTCACACTTAATGAAATCTAAAGGCTTATAAAATACAAATGCAGCCAAGTAGGAAAATATGTAACAGCTAAAGTCTCAATGCTTTCTTTTACTGATGATAGTAATTTTTTTTATAACATAGTTGTTCAGATTTGTCTGGTTAAGATTAGACAGCTTTCTAAAGATAGATGTTTTTTCCACACTTTTCTCCAAGTGGGACACTTTTCAAGGCATCAGATTAAAATAGAAAAACAATGATTTGGATAAATAAAACACACCAGTTTTGTTTGGGTTTCTTCTATTATCAGCTACCAAAGCCTCTTCATACCCTTCTACTTCAAGATACACCAATTAAAAAAAGTAAATTAAGTAACTCCACAGATGATCCCTAAATAATTTCAATATACAAAATTAGATCTGAAATAATTTAGCTTTTATGAGCTTTGACAAAATTCTGACATAAGATGAGGCAATAGAATTCATCCTTTAAGATGGGCCCCTTTCAATCTCTCTGGAAGATGGCTTTAGGCATAGTTCCACAAAGATTGTTTTAATTACCTAAGTTAACAAACAACTTGAGATGTTTAAGAAAAAGCCACAAGATCTACTGCTGTGACCCCAAGCACAGGTATACCTAGTTGCTGAAGAAGAGCTTGTATGGCAAGATTTTAGTCTTTTGAATAATGAAAATATTTTCATTTGTCTGACTCTGTTACACACATTTGATACAGATGTTGAACTTCTTTAAAGATTTTTTTGGTTAGACTGATGAGTAGATGATTTGTTCTCCTAAACTGACTGCATTCTAATACACAATACTCTTAGAAAGGCAGAATAATGGAGATATGTATATGGAAAAAGAGAAAACTGCTGCTGTGAGGGTAAAACTAAGCTTGAAGTAGAAATTATCATTATACTGTGAAAGTTCAACTTGAAAGAAAAGTATTGACTCTTATTTTAAGGAATATTTTTCAAGGAGTAGAAAACATTATTACACACTTTTGTTGAAAGAAGAAGCAACATCTTTCTGACATAGTAACAATAACAATGTGAAAGTGCCTCTCTGCTGTGCATCTTGGAGCTTTAGGGCACTACTGCTCATGTCCAGGAGCTTGATTTTCCTAATATCTTGCCCGGTGAGTATAATATAAATTATCAGAAAGTGATTTCTGTTTAGTTAGATAATGACTGATGTGGTTGATGTCACCCCTTTCTATAGTGTTAAGTTGGTCTGTGCTGCTGAGCAAGTCCAGTTAGAACATTGAGATCCACAAGCTAGGGTGAGCATTTTTGTAATGAATCATCCTAAGTTCAAGTGCACTGGATCATGAAGTGGATGGAGTTATTTCTGTGGTACTGATGATACCAGAATCTTAAATGCTATTGAATGAAAAAGGAGGTAACCTAGGGCATTCCATATAGATAGTTCTTGACACTTGATCATTTCCTAACACATCCCCTCATTACATCAGGCACAGGAGGTCTTCAGTGATTTTCATAGAGACAAATTTGAGGTTAAGCATTATCAAGGTGAAGGGTGACCTGCAGAGGAGCAGCAGACAGCCATTGCTGGCAGAACAAGAACAAATTTGTTTTTACAGGGTCCTTCCTGGCCTAGTACAAAATGCTCACCCTCATTACTGGCTGGCCAAACAACATTTGGCAGATGTGAAGATCAACATACAACCTTCAGCTAGGGAAGTACGTTGTAAGATGCTTAGTTTCAGAGAAACAGACAGTTGGAATCATCTCTCACCCCTATCTGCACAGCATTACTCCATCAGAAAAAAAAGGATCCTAAGACACAGGACATTAGATCTGCACTGAATGCACTTGATCTGGTTCTATATTTTTGTCTTGTACTTAGAAAGTAAGTCACTGCTTCATTTTGAATCATCCAATAGTGTTTGCCATATTTTTCCTGGAAACTAGTATTTTTAGGTACTTGAGTCTATTTTCCATTTGTAAATCAACCGTTGGTACACAATAAAAATGACAACAATTAACTACATGGCAACATGTGGCCACTTTTTCTATATTTAATTTTGTAACAGTTTTATAAAGTATTTACAGAAACTTCTACAATCATAATTTTACAATTACATCTCAAAGGAGGTTGTAGCCAGGTGGGGTTTGGTCTCTTCTCACTTAACCAGTAATAAGACAAGAGGACATAGACTCAAGCTGTACCAGGGGAGGTTTAGGCTGGACATTAGGGAGAAGTTCTTCACAAAAAGAGTGATTGGGCACTGGAATGGGCTGCCCAGGGAGGTAGTAGAATCACCATTCCTGGATATGTTTAAGAATAAAGACTGGATGTGGCACTCAGTGCCATGGTCTTGTTGACAAACTGATGTTAGGTCATAGGTTGGACTCAATTACCTCAAATGTCTTTTCCAACCTGATTGATTCTGTGATTCTAGAAAAAGATCCTTATATCTGTTCACTATTATTTCACAAGTTTGAGTGACTATTGGTATTAGTAAATATTCACAAAGAAGTTCTGCAGAAGCCATACATTGTTATTCATTGGAGAAGAGAAAATGGTGCCCCCTATATAGGTCTGATATTTATTTTACAAACTGCTTTTGATCACCAGTTATTCTGAGTAGTGACTAAGTCAGATTTACTGCACCTTACAATTTTCTTTTTGCTCATCTTGCTCAGATAATCCTTGTTCATTTAGGGAAGTTTTTGCTTTGTGCATCGTACGATTCTCCCTAGTATTATCAGAGAGAGGTTCTGGGGATTGTTTATGCAGGCAAAGCGGTGACCTTGAAGTAGAATTCATTGGTGGAAAAGCTTGGGACTGCTGCTCATCATTTTCCTGTAACACAAACAAAAACATCCTCGTTTACTGGTAATGGAAAACCATATTAGCTTTCTGCCTTGGGTCAAAAGACTTGCTGCAAAAGACTAAATATTGTGAATTTGCAAAACACATAGACATACTGAAAGCACAAAAACATATTTTTAAGGCACTTATCACTCTGAATACACAACAGAGTGAGGCTTGATAACTCTTGCTTTGTTGTGGTATGAGATGAAATATCTGCTACACTGCTGGCAAGTTATTTTCCAGGAGCAGAAAAAAGCTACACAAGGAACAGACAGTACTCTTAAGCTGTTTACTAAAGTACCTGGTAGTGTGTACCAAGAGCTGTATTTAATTTTTTCTGTATATATTCTGCAAACATAAAGCATAGGTGTCACTTTTTTTGCTGACATCTGGGCAGAAACCACTGCTTTCACATTTTGACCGATGTGCAGTCAAAGCACTCAATTTAAATCCTACATTAAATTCACATAGAAAAGTGAATAAATTTGCATATGAACATGACAGGCACTTTTTAAACACCTTGAGAAATTTGCAACAGTTTGGAACTGGGTATGTGAAATAAAGTAGATACAAGTGCCTGTCAAAGAGATGGAAACAAGGTTTATTTCACTTTTAAAACAAGACACATCATTTTCTGTATTAATATAAAGCATGAAACAACACGTTTTAATGGTTTCAACAAATGATGGAACAACATGAACAATTCCTCCAGAAATTCCCAGATGTACGTCACCTTGAAATAAAACCAACACACATATTCAGCAGTGTCCAAGAGAAAAGGGCACAAATTCCTGGAACTGATGACTTTTGCATATTTACACTTGAGGGCAACAAAACCAACACTGAAATCTTAATTACTGCCATCTAGTTGAAGGTGAGGAGTAGCCTGTCCTTGGACCTAGACAACACAAGTTCAGACAAAGAAGAGGAATGTTGGGGAAATCCCTCCTCCAGTTACATTAGAAAAATATTATTACTGATAATTGTTACTTGCTGTATAACCCTGACTATGGCCAGCTAGTCTACAACAAGCTTACACCATGTTGGCAGGTGATTACTACACAACTTTCTGTGAACAAGGCTTCCTTTCTTTTTTGCACTACTCAGGCTCTTTATAAGCAACACCATTTGTTTCTAAGGTTATAGGGAAACAGACATAAAGGAGTATAAATAAAACGTATTGGCATCACTTAATGAAACAGTAATAAAACACAGACCTCCAGGCAATGTCTGTAAGAAGCAACAACTCTTGGCAAGTGGGGTAATTACCCCTTGAAACAACATACACAAATTCAGTGGATTCACTCTCACTGCAAAATATCAATTTCCTATTGCTGTAGCTCCAAAAAATTATAGGTCTGATGTGATTTGTCTTCCCAATGGTGTTTTCTGGCCTCAAAAACTATACATCCACTAAACTAGGTGGCATTTGCCTTTACTTACTTTTGGTATCCTGCCAACATATTTTATGCGCTAATACAAAATAACTTGATTTTTAAAAAAGGAAAGAAAAAACACAAAAAGCTATGTGCAAGATTCTGCTGATTGTCAAGAGAATACTCATGTGTAACCTGACAAACTGGAAGGA